GTTTAAGGAAGCTGAACAATTGTAGCATGTGTTCTAGTATTAATATTATACAAGAATACAAATTGATAACACAATATTTCTCTAATACCTATATTGGTGGAAGGTAGAAAATACTCAATGATATTCGGCCGCATATACATATGCCACACACTTATACATGACATTCTCAAGTTTTATTTAAGAGGAAAAAGGAGAACAAGACAGATATTAAGTTGAAAGTTTTTGATCATGACAAATAACTCACAAACCAAATGGTTTACTGGAACATAAACGTAGAAATGTCTATAAAGAATTTTTCCTCTGTCAAATGTGAACATTTATATTATTGTATCTTCGAAACACATAATTAATGTTAGAGGAAACGTAAAAATAAAGAGCAAGGATGAACAGCAATAACGTGGTTCGGATCAGAATGATCCTACGTCCACTAGAGAACAACCGTCTTTATATTAACAAAGAAAGGGGAGAGATGTCAAATACATCTTAGACAATTGCTCTAATAATTCTCTACTCTTTTAATGTATTTTACTATGAGTTTTAGGATGTTTTCAACAATGAAGAATGACTATCCTTTTATAGGTGGTCAAACTTATGCTCCAAGAACAAAAGAAAAGAAATACAGAATTTTTCCACAAATTATAGCTTGCTCTCCAAGTTTAATTCTTAACTAAGTAAATTGGCATGTGAACTTTTCTTCCATTGGGTTTGACCTTACAGGGACCAAACTTATCTTTTTATCTCCACCTTGGATTGCATTTTGAGCATGTCTAAAAGTTCTAAAAGTAGCTAACTGATTTATTACTGTAATATACCGAGACATATTTTCAACACTCTTTCTTGGATCAGGAATTGTAGATTGTTGTCTCATCTGAATTGACCTTGTGAACAAACCTGCTAATTCATCCTTTGTCTTGCAAGACTTGTGTGCATCTTCTGATGGACTAAATGAGAAGTTCTTACCTCGCATTTCAACTTGTAAAATTTCTTTTTAATAGAATCAAAGATTCGATAATATTTGTCTCCAAATAATAATTTATATCCTTTTTCGATTAACAGACCAACACTAAACAAACTTTTATAACTATCACGCGCATAAAGAACATCTGAAATTATGTTGTACCTGAATTTGTTTTAATTGAAACATAACCTTTTTCTTTTGCAGGAATACAATCACCATTCCTAATTCTGACTTTCTTAATTTCCATAGGAATGAACTCTTTAAAAAGATTTCTTTCATATGTCATGTGGTTTGTACAACCATTATCAATCATCCAAAAATCAGATTTTTTGGTTGAAAAACAAGTTGCCACAAATAAGTGGTCTTTTTCTTCTTCAGTTGTGACTTGGACAACTGCTTCATCCTTTTGAAATTTGCTTTTGCAAATTACAGCTTCATGACCAAGTTGTTTGCAGTTCTTGCACTATGCATTTGTGTTGGGGAATGAGAAAACTTAAAGTTTGTAGTTTTGATGGATGACAAAGAGTTGTAGTTTTGATGACTAACAAATAGTCTTGATGTGTAATAAATCATTGGTTATCATCATCAAAAAGGGGGGAAATGTTGGAAGTAGGAGAACAAATAAAGTAGTTTTGATGATTAATAAAGTGAAGGCATGGTGTCGTATGTGTACAATCATGAGAGATTGCGGCAAAGAAGAAAAAGTATTGGGCAAAGAAGAAAAAGTATTGCCATTGTTGTTCCCATTTGAATTGGTCATTGTTGATCTGCGTGAGGAGGAAGAAGAAAGGAAAAATTTGGATCGTTCTCATCAGAGTGTGAAGAGCCCTGATACCATATAAAGACTGGCTATAAGTAGAAAGATGATGATTTATTAATGACGATAGAATGTTGCTTAAATAGAATTACAGTGGAAAGACTCCTAAACGAAGTGAAGTAATAAAACCTAACTAGACAATAACTGTTGAAACTTAATCCTAAATAAACAGGGATAGAGACTGCTCGAACTTAGTACGACTTCATAACTAAATTGACTCGTGATGTTCCAATACCCCCCCCCCCTTCCCTCTATTAGTAGATCTTACTCTGTGTTAAAACATGACAAGAAATAGTGAGAGAAGTCATACTTTCTTCCTCCTCTGCTCCTTCTGCTGTGGAAGAAGTTTTACTCAAAGAGTCTAATTTAAGGCACAGCATGTCCTTTTGTCTCTTGCAAGAAGTCAGGACACACTTAAAAGTGTTATAAGTTCATCATTTTCTCTGTCCATGTTGATAATTTTACTCCTATACTTTTAAGCATCCACATCCCAACTTGTTGATCATTCAGCACATGAATTTACTCAGAAGCAATACGAATATCGCATGACTCTTCCTTCCAAATAATCAAATCTCTCCTAGGTTCAATAATGATGTTTCTTTTGGAGATATTTCTCCTTATGCTCATTCTGCAGGTTTAATTATCTTTTATGTAGTTAAATTTGTGTTTTTCCATGCATGTTCATCATTGCAATTAGGGCTAGCCACATGACTCCATTTATGGTGTTTATAAGCTATATCAGTGTTATCACATTGTATTTCCATATATCTCATGTATACCATATACCAGTATATATAATCCACAATAATTTGTGATTTATGTGAAACACCCCCTAATTTGTGTCAAGACTGACACTGCTCTGTCAATCAGTGTTGCAAAAATAAAATAGAATAAAATAAATCAAGGATTAGTACAACACCATCCATGAACCATTACTGGAATACCATAGGAGTCTTCTACAGATTGGATCTATCATGGAGTAAAAGAACACATTGCCGATTAGGATTATTCAAAATATGCTTTCTTGCAATCTATGTTGTGATCAACAGATCTATAGTAGCAACAAGTACATTGTGCCACCCTGTTGGAAATTTAGTTTCAGGTTATAGAGAAGAACATATTAAATCTGCAGCGGTGGATAGAGTATGTAAGCAACTTTTGCATCAGAGAAGAAACAGGAACCATGCAACTCTTCTTTTGGCATTTCATCTGAATATGTGATGAATAAATAACCACATGCCAATAGAAAGTATCTCTATCACTGTTTCTTCTTGTTAGAGAAGAACATAGTGACTTACCGGTGGCGGATACAGTACGGGAACAGTGGGTTCAACAGAATAACATTAAGCAGAGACAGTAACAGGGCAGCTCTCCTTTGGCATGTCAGTTTAAATATATAAGTGCATGCCAATAGAGAGTAGCCCTACCACTGTTTCTCTTATAAATTCAAAAATACATTTTTATTCGCCAACTCTTTTTTTCTCATTTTTCTGCTTCTGTTGCATCACAACAGAGCCTTCCAAGCTTATATAGATCATTCTTTCTCAGTTTAAGCAACGGTATAAACCCATGGAGAATCAGCATATCCTGCCATTTTTATGTCTTCTTGCTTTTTCTAGGGTCAGGAAATGGGCAACTTTTATCCCTTTTACCATTTCATTTTTGTGGCTCTTCGGTTTCCAAATGCTAGCCTCACTTAATTAGGTACTTTTTGTGACTATATGAAGTGTGTCACTTGAGTCTTTTACAACATATCCTTGGTCATATTCCTCATTCTCCTCTTCTTTGTTCACATCGACATTTCTATGGAGGATCTTTTTGCCTTTGTGTGGTTTTTCGATTTCCTGGTGTTACATAAGAATACATTCATATAATACCATCCTAGATTCTTGCACCAGCTAGTCTTCCCTCAAACCTATGCCCCATGTACCTACATCACATCTATATCTATATCTATATCAATATCGATATCAATGTTAACTTCTAAATTAGAAAGTTGAATCAGCTGAATATCAAGTAATAATTGATAAAAGCCACCTATTTCCAACAATTGATAAATAAAGTCGTCGAGCCAGACACTACAAGAGTTTAACCATAAAAGCCACTGTTGGAATAAGGGTGTCCGTTGTTTGGAGAAGCAAATAACTACAGAGATATTAGTATAGTATTCTAAAACAGAGATCTTAAATTAAGTTAAATGGCTAACTGAGCTTTACATTGCTGATGAGGATTTGATTCCCACTTTATAATACGTACCTCATTTCCCTTTCTCTACCTCTATGTGATAAAAATTATAGTATAGTATTCTAAAAGGACAAAGATTACTCAGTCTATTTCGATTTATATGTCTTAAGTGTTTAAGTCTGTTTCAAATAGGAAGTTGCTCTAATTCTTTTCCCCCTAAATGACAGAAGAGTATTATGTTGTAAAATGTGATAATATTTTATAATGGTCATTTAGCGTGAGAGACTTTTGGCGCTGGTGGAAGAAACTTAACTCGTTAACTGGTAGTTTTTTGTCTCTCGAAAAGAAGTCTTATTCAATTTTTACTTGTCTTATTATATAGCATCCGGAATTCGACTGTATTGATATATGTTGCTGCAGTTGTTCAGCTTCAACTGTCTTAAGAGTAAACTGGCACAAATGATTACACACTTCAAACTTCTATTATGTCTAACTGTCAGGCAAAGGAAGCAGTACTCTTCATTTCTTGGCCTCTAAAAGAGATGGAATCCTAAAAGTCCCATAACATAAGCAAGAGTGGAATTAGGGAAATCGAAAAGCCGCATGAATAACAAAAATCTAAACCAAATAGAAAACGTAACATAGAAATGTAAAAGAGAAACGAAGAATAGAAAAAATAAGGAATATGATGAAAGGATATGCTGTTTGAAGCTCCTCGAGTCAAATGGCACACACTTCAAAGGCATAAAATCATGTGGCATCAAATTTTTCTTGATGGAATCTGACGAAAATACTTCTAAAGGAGATGCTTTTAGGAAATGAATTGTAAAGGATAAGAAAGTTACCACATTTTTTGACTATAAGCAATCCCATAAAGCAAGAAAATATCCGCAGACAACAACTAGAACAAAAAATCACATAGGATATGCTGATTCTCTTCAAGGGTATAAGGGTTTATACCGTCTCTTAAACTGAGAAGGAATGCCTATAAAAGCATTGAAAGCTCTGCTGTGGTGAACCATAGAAAGAAGAAAACAAGAGTTGGTAAATGAAAATATATTCTTGATTTTATAAGGGAAACAGTGATAGGGCTACTCTCTATTGGCATGCAATTGTATATTTCAGCTGACACGCCAAAGGAGAGCTGCCCTGTTACTGTCTCTGCTTAATCTACATGCCATTCGGGCACTCATAATATAGTGTGATGTCTTGAAGGTATTTTTCTACTTTCTTCAACGTCTACATTGATTTTCAAATTAAATACAAAGCATTAGCTAATTAGTTATCCATATTGAATGTTCTGTTCTCGTGTTATTCCAAATATTAAGTCTTGTTTAATTTGTTCTGAACCCATCAATTGATTTGAATGCGACTGTGAGATGTATATATTTAAATAAACATTTTAATTTAAAGAGCAGTTATAGCGTTATGAATGATATAACTTTATATTCTATTTTTTGAATTTAATCCTCAAATTATTTTTGTAAACTGAAGATTTATACATAGTTCTGATGAATTAGAATGCAACTCCATTGTAATTTTCAGACAAGCTGCTTGGATGGTTCAAAATATATCCAAAGCTAGGAAATTAACACTTTGGAAATTCAGGTTACAGGATGGATGAGGTTGTGACTTATCCAAAGGTACTTGTAAAAACTTTTAAGTTTCAAATGTACATTTCAAACTTGGGTAATTATTCTGGTGTTCGAATAAGTTAAGTTTATAATATTGGTTTGAAATATGTTTTCGCTAGAGGACTCTTTCCCTGTTAATCATGATATTGGGGAGCTCAACATTTGATTCGGAAAAGACCAATTGGTTCAGCTGCAGCTCAGAGATCATTTTACAGTTGTAACATTCGACTTGTAGTTTTATTCTTAGCCATTCTATGTGTAATTACAAATACTTGATTCATTTATGAAATAAAGTTTGATCCATCAATCATTCTCAATTCATGATTTTGTTTCTATAATCTCTTTTTTCTCTCTGGTTAAGCCGGGGCATTTCCACCAGCGAAATTTCCATCTAATTTCTGCAAGTCTAGTTCTAACATGGTAATATAGCAGGCAAATGAATTATACTTGTTCCTCTCATTAGAGCATTGTTCGCAACAAATTTTCGTAAGCGTGAAAAATTAACTTCAAGCAAAATAAATAAAAGGAAAATGTGATTTTATTAATAATTCGTTATGAGTACAATTACGTTGTTCTCTTGATTCTCTCTCCTAAGTTTCTCCGCGATTCGAGGGCCTTCAGTAGCGTCTTTCTCGAATTGTTGGATGATGTAGACCTCCTTGAGATTTTGTCGATCTCCGGGACGTCGGAAAGCGCTTCGTCGTTGTAAGTCGGTCTCCGGGAAGAACTCCATTGATCACTCCTTCGAAGAACTATTGATGTTGATGTTGTAGCTTTCTCCAATTTGTTGAATGCTTGTTGAAGAGTTTTTTCTGGATCCCTAGAATGTCATGTTCATTCCCTATTTATAGTTGTAGGGGGTGGACAAGGTTGCATATGATTGGCCAAAGAATGTTATTTTGACATTTGGAATGCCGTAATTGGTTCTTACACTTGACTCGGACTAACACCTCATTTGGACAGGTGGTGTCACCTTGTTAATTTCGGATGCCTAGTTACTGTGACACGTGGTATGAGTTTGGGCTTTAAGGTGAAATGGACCTTGATTTGAACTTTAATAAAAAAGACTCATTTATTTGTAAAACCCAAATGAACATGGATTTAATTCAAATTTTGTATGAAATTGGTTCAATTACAATTTATGTGTCTACAAGCATCACATCCTAGAAGCTAGATTTTGTATTTTGGTTGATTTCCAAAAAAAATATATGGATAGGGTTCAATTTCTGATTCAGCAGGGGTTTACTCTATTCTACTTCTGATTCAAAGGTTTCACAATGAATTTACTATGATGTTTAAGGCGTTCATGATGATGTAGCATGGTGATTGATCTTAGCATTTATTCTAAGTTGAAGATTTACCCTTACTGGAAAGGGTTCAATGATATGATATTGCTTGGATCACTAGCTCCTTATCTAGCAACATTTCTAATTTATCTTTTTTGTAGTTAAATTTATGTTTTTTCCATGCATGTCATAATTGAAACTAGGGTTAGATACTTGAATCTTTGACTCTGGGGCCGCTAGCCACATGACTCCATTTATGGCGTTTATAAGCTATATCATTGTATATCAATTGCATTTCCATATATCTCATGTATACCATTTACATCTGTATATGTAATCCACGAATATCTGTGATTTATGTGAAACACCCCCTAGTTTGTGTCAAGACTGACAATGCTTTGTCAATCAGCGTTGCAAAAATCACAAAAAGAAAATCAAGGATTAGTGCAACACCATCAGGAACCTTTACTGGAAAATTAGTATACCATAGGAGTTTTTTACAGTTTGGAATTTGGATCTATCATGGAGTAAAAGAATACATGCAGATTAGGATTATTCAAAATATACCTTCTTGTCATCTACATTTTGGTCAACAGATATAGAGTAGCAACAAGTACATTGTGCCACCCTGCTGGAATTAGTTTCAGGTTTTACAGAAGAACATATGAACTCAGCAGCGGTCGGTAGAGTACGCACTACAACAAAAATGACCATTAGCGGCATTTAATTCTTAATTTGCCGCTAAATATGTATTTTTAGCGGCAATTGTCACTCTTTGTAAATGTCCCTAAACCCTTTAGCAACATTGGTTCTAATAGCACTTAACTAATGCGGGTAAAGACTTTAGCACTATTTATTAGTGTCAATATTTAATGCTGCTAAAAGTTGTTTTTGTTGAAGTGACGTAAACATCTTTTGCATCAGAGTTATAACATAAAGCAGAAATATAACTGTGTTGGCATTTCATCTGACATATGTGATGAAAAGATAACCACATGCCAATAGAGAGTATTCCGGTCATTGTTTCTTCTTGTTAGAGAAGAACATAGTGACATGTCGGTGGCGGATACAGAATGTAAAGAGTTTGTTCAACAGCTGCTCCATCAGAATAACACTAAGCAGAGACAGTAACAGGGCAGCTCTCCTTTGGCATGTCAGCTTAACTATATCACTGCATGCCAATAGAGAGTAGCCCTACCACTGTTTCCCTTATAAATTGAAGAATACATTTTTATTCACCAATTCTCCTTTTTCTGCTTCTGTTTCATCACAGCAGAGCACTCGTAGCTTATATAGATCATTCCTTCTCAGTTTAAGAGACGGTATAAACCCATGGAGAATCAGCATATCCTGCCTCTTTTGTGTCTTCTTGTGTTTTCTAGGGTCAGAAGCTGGAACTACCATATCCCTTTTACCATTTCATTTTGTGGCTTCTCGGTTTTTGAATGCTAGTATCACTTAATTAGGTGGTCACTTGACTCTTTTACAGCATATCCTTGGTCATATTTCCTCTTCCTTTGTCCATGTCGACATTTCTATGTTATATGTAGGGTCGTTTTTGCTTTCGTGGCTTTTTGATTTCATAGTGTCACTCTCACTTAATTAGGCTAGTAAATTTTTCAAAAGTGTCTTTTTGAGTTCTCTCATATTACTCAAAAGTGTCATCATTTGTTCCAGTTTGCATATCACGCTAACCTGAACTAATTACCTATCTGTGGCAGTTTACAATCATTTTGCACCTTTCAACACGGCGGTATGGTATTAATTTAGTGAATTTTGGTGATATATGATGCTGCAGTTGTGCAGCTTCAAATGTCTTTAGAGTAAACTGGCAGAAATGTTGATACACTTGGAACTTTTATTAGGAGTGAACAGAACAAGCACCTTATTCGAACTTTTATTATGTCTAACTGTCAGACAAAGGAAGCAGTACTCTTCATTTCCTGGCCTCTAAAAATTCCATGACATAAGCAAGAGTGGAATTAGGGAAATCGAAAAGCCGCATGAATAACAAATATCAAAATTCAAAACCAAATAGAAAATGTAACATAGAAAAGAAGAACAGAAAAAATAAGGAATATGATGAAAGGATATGCTGTATTTCTCTCCTTGAGTCAAATGGCACACACTTCATCAAAGGCATAAAATCATGCAGCATCAACTTTCAGCAACTTTTTCTTGATGGAATCTGATGAAAATATTTTTAAAGGAGTTGCTTTTAGGAAATGAAATTGTAAAGGATAAGAAAGTTGCCACATTTTGTAACTCTAGAAAAATCAATCCCATAAAGCAAGAAGATATCCGCAGACCACAACTAGAACCAAAAAATCACATAGGATATGCTGATTCTCTCCAAAGGTTTATACCGTCTCTTAAACTGACAAGGAATGCCAATAAAAGCATTGAAGGCTTTGCTGTGGTGAACCAGAGAAAGAAGAAAACTAGATTTTGTAAATGAAAATATATTCTTGAATTTGTAAGGGAAACAGTGATAGGGCTACTCTCTATTGGCATGCAATTGTATATTTCAGCTGACACGCCAAAGGAGAGCTGCCCTGTTACTGTCTCTGCTTAATCTACATGCCCTTCGGGTACTCTTAATACAGTGTGATGTCCTGAAGCTATTATTCCACTTTTCGTAGTGAATCGTTGTGTCTCATGTTATTCCAAATACTAAGTCTGTTTACTTTGTTGTGAACCCACCAATTCATTTGAATGTGAATATTCAAATGTACATTTAAATTTAAAGAGCAGTTATACCGTTATGAATGATATAACATTCTATTTTTTCTATTTAATCCTCATATTATTTTGTTAACTGAAGATTGATACATAATTCTGATGAACTAGAATTCTACTCAATTGTAAATCTCAGACAAGCTGCTTGGATGGTTCAAAAGATTCCCAAAGCTAAGAAATTAACACTATGGAAATTCAGGTTACAGGATGGATGAGATTCGAAGGTACTTGAATTAGTTAAGCTTATAATATTGGTTTGAAATAATGTCTTCTCCAGAAGACTCTAGCTCTGTTAATCATGATATCAGGCAGCTCAACATTAATTCGGAAAAGGCCAAGTGGCTCAGCTGCAGCTCAAAGACCATTTTACTGTTGTAACATTAGACTTGTAGTTTTATTCTTAGCCATTTTATGTGTAAGTACATTAATCATTCTCTTTGTTTATATAATCTTCTTTTTCTCTCCTGTTAAGCCGAGGCATTTCCGCCAGGGAAATTCCCATCTAATTTTTGCAAGTCTTAATTCTAACATGGTAACATAGCAGGCAAATTAACTAAACTTTTTCCTTTCATTAGAGCAACATATCCTTGAAGCTAGATTTTGTATTTTGATTGATTTTCAAAAAAATATATATGGATAGGGTTCAATTTCTGATTCAGCAGGGGTTTACTCTATTCTACTTCTGATTCAAAGGTTTCATAATGGATTTATAGTGATATTTAAGGTGTTCATGATGATGTCTTATTTAGGGCAAGGTGACTGATCTTAGCATTTACTATAAGTTGAAGATTACCCTTACTTGGACAAGGTTCAACAATATGATGATTGCTTGAATCACTTATTCCTACTAGTGTTTCAGGGTAAATGACACTAATAGGGAAACTTTTTTGAACATTAATGAGAGATTTTGGGTGATCAAATAGGTCTAAGCTCATCCAATTTCAAATGACATTGTTCCATTTCCCAGAGAACTTCAAACAATGCCTCATAGTTCACTAGACTGTGAAGCCTTTGGGATGAGATGAGGGGTCATACGCTCTTGTGGCCCCTTGCCCAAGTTTGTAGAAGAACTGAAATTGTTTCGGTTCCTAAATTGGTTGAAGAATATCTACTCCACATTTATGAGCAATATACTATCTCCTTCCCTCTATTAGTAGATCTTACTCAGTGTTAAAACATGACGAGAAATAGTGAGAGAACTCACATTTTTCAGGCTTCTCCACTAAATCAGCCTCATTTTCTTTCTCGACTGCTTCTTTTGGTGCCGA